ACTTGTTACTAGAAGCGATGCACTTGTTCCTAGTAGCTTCTTGTTTCGAATAGCTTTTTGTTACTACAAGTAAGGCACTTGTTACTAGTAGCGATGCGCTTGTTCCTAGTAGCTTCTTGTTTCTAATAGCTTCCTGTTGCTACTAGCAAGGCACCTGTTACTAGTAGCGATGCACTTGTTTCTAATGCTTGAATCCAACATTTCTCGCAAAAGAGCAGAACGCATTGAGACCAACAAGCAACCTGCTACCGACGGCCTCCAACCCAATAGCGATGGCCTCCAACCGTCAACCTACTAGCGATGGCCTCTCCCGTTACTAGGACCAAGATTCGCCACCCAGTCTGGAGCTGAAATCACCCTGAGGGCAGATGGCTCGGTCAGACGGCACTTGATTATGCCAAACCAAAAGGTTCAGACAGAAGAAAGACGAGCCTTCGGGTATCCATGGTGGCATTCAATGGAACACACAGCAAAGTACCACTGCGGGGTGGAAGGCCGGCAGTCTCCAAACTGACCTAAGCAGCTTGTGGACGCCACGGGGCGATACTGGACCATTCAGCGAAGACAGGAGGAAAATCGTTCACATCGTTCGAAAAGAACTGCTGCGCTCACTGCGCATCATCCCAAAAAAAGAATCCAACACTCCTTGGATGCAAACTTCAACTTCGCGGGGCATCTGAGGTGTCTGCATCTGTATATCCCTGCACCAGGCCACCTCCAACATCCATCACCAGGCGAATCCTCAACCGGAAGCTTTCGACGAGGTCGAAGGATGGATGGTGGCTTCTTTGCAAAGAGAATTCCATGGCGTCTTTTCACATGTCTTCCGTATTCAATACGTCTCTGAGGTCAGTTCTTGTAGATGGTGGATTCCTGTAGCACATTGCCCTGGCGATCCGCAGCTGATTACGTGGAAAATCATGGAAAATCAACTTTGGACCTACCGTGCGACTGGGCCGCCTTGATGATCATGTTGGGAGAATCTGGCCTGCCAAGGCAAATTCGTGCACATCAGAACAAAAGACTCGACCCAACACGCAGATTGCTCCAAACTTCATATCTACCAAATCAAGCAAAAAGATCAAACAAGTGTGCAACGATCTGCCTGGTGAAGAAACGCGATGCGTTGGTGATGTCGTAGACGTCAGTTTGGTCAATGTAGACCATCCTGCAAAGCTTTGTGTTGCGGAGCACCCATCAATCTACACAGAGAAAAGCAATGTATTTTGCCTCAACATGCTCTCCATGGCTTCACACTGCTTTCTTTCGAAGCTCAAAGCGGGCATCAAACGCATCAAAGCAAATTTTAGGAAGAGACATGCCTTCGAAAAGGAGAAGAGGAAGAGCGAAGCAAAAAGCACTCCAAGTTCCAAGCCGGACACCACCGACCCCACCCCTCACTCCCATCACCGCCCGTTGCCCACCTATCCACCAAGTAGACAGTTGTCGGGTCATTGTCACTCTCTGCTTCTCGGGCTCTGTCGCCGTCGTATAGCGGATTGGAAGAGAAGACGAGGACCTAATTGCCGACGAAAGCAACAAGACAGAATCATCTGGTTCAACACCTTTGCACTGCCTTCACATGAGAAACGTTCCATCCTTTCCCACTCGGAAATATGCTTAGAAGCGAGAAGCTACTTGGTGGAGGCCTGGCTATCAGGTTCTAGTGACAAGAAGCACCCAGCTCTCCTTGCTTTTTAAACTGCGGACCACTGCGACCTTCATCATGCGCGTCAGCTCCCCTAAATTTGGTGCCCCAACACGCCAGGAGAATTCCAAAGCCACAGTGGGGTCCAACTCCGACTCCACCGTCCCGGAGATGCTGATCTGAGAAGGGCAGTCGCTCACTTGTCCGACGACCGATCTCATTTTCCACACCAAGCTTTGAAAGAAAACTTATGGCCACGTGCCACATCCTTGTGATGGAACTTGCAAAACCCTACTAGTAGTAACAAGAAGCTACTAGAGTGGAGGCCATCGCTATTAGGTTGGAGGCCATCACTACTAGTAACAAGAAGCTACTAGTATTGTGGCCACGTGCCACCGGCTTGTGATGGAATACAGAGAGAACGTGACTCGAACTCGCGCAATTGTCCCGGCATTTGTCCCGGAAAAAGAGATCGTCAAATCTTCCCAACAGCATCGGCCCCACCTCTGAGGTGACTGGATACTTGGGCCGTGGGTTGTCAATCGTGAGGCGGATTTGCGGTACAACCCTTGGTGTCAAGCAAGAGTGAAGCAATCACAAAAAAGGTCCACGGAGAAAAAAACAGTGTCTTGCATTGTTCAGGTCCAGGGTAATTAGTAATTGTGATGTTAGCACTTAGAGCTATAAACGGATTAAACGGATGGTCGTTGGAGACTCAAACTGCGCAATCAAAAGGCTCACGATTCAACGGCGACCGAGCCCGTGGCAGTTCGGTGATGGTGATCCGAACATCCTGAGTAACAAGAACGCTACGAACGGGGCTCCTGGCATCGCTACTAGGAACAAGGACGCTACTAGGGGCTCCTGGCCTTACTACTAGGAACAAGAAGCTACTAGTAACAAGGTGCATCGCTACTAGTAGCAAGGAAGCTACCAGGAACAAAGGGCATCGCTACGAGGAGCAAGGCCGCGTCAGCGAACGAAGGAACCACCAGGGCGAAAGGCCTGTCCTTTATTGAGTCTCGACCATCAGCGGAGCGTGCCATCACCTCGAAGGCAACCACCGAAGCCCAATTCGTCTGAGGAAAAGGGAAGACCAGAGAAGTTTCGTTGGAAGCCTTTTTGTCAAACACATTTGGAAAAAGGCACCGGGATAACAAATTGTCACTTTGGAGATATTTGTGTCACGAAGCATTCATGGCTTCTAACATTGCTTCACGACACACTTCAGGTGAATGACACTCTCAAGAGCTTCTCGCTCTGCCTTAGGTTGGAGGCCATCGCTAGTAGGTTGAAGGCTGAAAGTGAAATCAAAAGTCATGATCTCATCAGACTCGGCACCTCGAAGATGTATTCACCCTGGGTGAAGTTCACTGTGGAGACCATGAGAACTCCACGTGCCTAACCAGCTGATCGAAGCTCAAAGCCGGAGAATGATCAAATGCAGGCACTCTGGCAGCCTCCAACACCATTTACTTAGATGACTGCGACGTTCACTTCTGAACACCCGTAAACCCTAACGGCCCTAACAGTTGTAAGAGTCATCTTCTTTCGAGTCTTTGTATTCACTTAAACTTTAAATTTTATAAGAGAAGAATTTGGCCGTGTGACCAACCCTCATTCCCGGAAGGCACCCAACGGCAGTAGAGGCCATTGTCGAAGAGCGGGGTGCTGAAAGTCTTTCCTCCCTGCACAATCCTGCAACAAGTGCATGCTTTCACATCAAGGGCATCAGCTTCGGCCGAATATCAGAGGATATGATATTACCAACCTCTGGCGACGTGAAACAGTTTCTGAAGAGAGCTTGTTCAGAAGGACAACATATCCTTGGCGTCAACACGAGCTTAAACCAGCCAACACAATGCCCACCTTGAATCAAAGTCAGTGATGCACGTCTCCTTGCAGTCGAGCCGTGTTTCTGCTCTCTCAATACAAAAGGAGAGAACTCTGAAGACTCTGAAAAAAATAAACAGACAGGAAGGACGCTACTAAGAGCAAGGGCATCGCTACTAGGGGCTCCTGGCATCGCTACTAGGAGCAAGAAGCTACTAGGGGCTCCTGGCCTTACTACTAGGAACAAGAAGCTACTAGTAACAAAGAGCATCGCTACTAGGAGCAAGGACGCTGCTAATGTTGTCCTTGGATTAATAAAGTACCCCAGAATATTGACGTTTTTTTTCCTGCACAGATTAATAAATGCCCCCAGAATAATGATTTTTTTGTTGGAGGGGTAGTTGTAGTGGGATTTTTGTTTTGTTATAGTTTTTTCCCTTTTGATGTGTTTTACTTACCTAAGCTCTTTAGTCTTTAAGCTTTCCAAAAGTTTCCAAAAGTCATTGCACACTTTCTTTACAAAATCCCGTATTCAAAAGTATTGAAAAAACATAAAAATCACTCAAGCAAAGGGGGTAGTCCAGCAAGCAGCTTTCTGACTTTATTTAGGGGGGGCCCTAGAATAATGTCTAGAGATTTCAGGCTTAAAAAATATGTTGCTTTAAGTAAACTTGTATTCATTCCCTTTCTGTTCCTTTTGCTTTGCTTTACTTACCTAAGCTCTTTAGTCTTTAAGCTTTCCAAACGTTTCCAAAAGTCATTGCACACTTTCTTTACAACATCCCTTATTCAAAAGTATTGAACACACAAAAAAAATCATTCAAGCAAAGGGGGTAGTCCAGCAAGCTGCTTTCTAGAGATTTCAAGCTTAAAAAATATGTTGTTTTAAGTAAATGTGTATTCATTCCTTTTCTGTTCCTTTTGATTTGCTTTACTTACCTAAGCTCTTTAGTCTTTAAGCTTTCCAAAGGTTTCCAAAAGTCATTGCACACTTTCTTTACAACATCCCTCATTCAAAAGTATTGAAAAAACAAAAAAATCATTCAAGCAAAGGGGGTAGTCCAGCAAGCAGCTTCTGACTTTATTTAAAGGCTTACGCCTAACAGCCGGGCGCCGGCCCACTTGGGTCTGTGTAGGGCTGGGTCGGGTGCACGTTAAGCTATCGGGGGCATACACTGGGCCCTGGTGGTGCCGGAAACTGGTCCGCGTCGGGGACGGGGGCCCTATATTGAGCAAAGTTAAGCTATCTGGTGCGCATCTTGGCCCTAGGTTGGGCCAAGTGGGGCTATGTGGTCTATGTTGGGCACATCTGGAGCCCATGTTGAGCCTATGTTGGGCCTATGTTGGCCTATGTTAGGCCTATGTTGGCCTATGTTGGCCTAGGTTGGGCCTATGTTGGGCCTATGTTGGCCCCATGTTGGCCTATGTTGGCCCTATGTTGAGCCATCTTGGAGGCTATGTTGGGCATATGTTGGGGATAATGTTGAGGATATGTTAGGCAATTTATGTTGAAAAAATCTTCCGAGACAACTTTTTACGACTTTTTCCTTCCCGCAAAGCAAAAACCCTGAAAAAACCTATATACGTTTTTTAACATCGCCAAGATGAAATTCTCGGCCGCCGAGGGGCCCAAAACCCTGTAAAACACAGTGTTTTTTATACCTCACACACACACACACGATACACTGTAAATTACAGGGGCGTCAGTGGTCCCGAGGGTCGGCGGCAGGGGGGGCGAGCATCTATAACCTTCGGTTACCAACCGAAGGCCTCCGGCAAGGACACGGGCGCGTGGCCGGCGCCCGGATTTAGGGGGGGGGCCCTAGAATAATGTCTGGAGATTTCAGGCTCCAAAAAATGTGTTGCTTAATCATTCCCTTATTTCCTGAAAGTCAGATTCTTTTCATTTTTAGTATTGCCAGAGATAGCTAAGACATGATTCCTTTCATTTTTAGTATTGCCAGAGATAGCTACGACATGATTCCTTTCATTTTTAGTATTGACAGAGATAGCTAAGTAATGATTCCTTTCATTTTAGTTTTGCCAGAGTAGCTCCAGAGGTAGCTAGCTAAGGATTCCTTATTTATTTATCAATTGATTGTTTTTCTATCATATTGTTCTGGAGTCTCAATTGTTGATAGGGGGGGACCCGGGGGGGGTTATTAATCAAGAGTCAACATTAGGTGCTCTTAAAGGTGAAAAGCCAGAAACTCTACGACCCCGAAGGCCCGTCGATCGTGCCAAGTGGCCAAAGGTGGAATCAGGCCCGTCGAGTCGCTTCCAAAGCATGGCAAACGCTCCCTGCAGCGAAGGGCGGCAAAGCGAACCGCGTCCTCCGCGTCCTCCGCGTTCCCTCCAACCGATTCCGAGTCCGCGCCATGTATGGCAGCTGTGCTGTGGCTCAGCGGTCGGGAGAGCTCGTTGCTCGTTTGAGGTTGGACTTTCTTGGTGTCCCGGCGGAGTCAAACACCACCACTGGAAGGTTCCCACAAAGGTCATTCCTGGATTGGTCGGGTAGTCCGGATCCTGGCCACAAGATTTACTGCCACCAAGCAACTCAACTCATTCAGACAAATATTGAAAGAGTGAATTTGTGGAAATTGCACGCACAAACGACTCTTCCAAGAAGCGGTGACTGCCAATATCTCTCCTGACTCTCCCGAGCATCCAGGACCAGAATGTCACCACGCGTCATGAGACGATCCTCGCAGGCTCCGCTCACGTTATCGAATCGACTCAGCAGCCCCTAGTAGCTTCTTGTTCCTAGTAGCGATGCCAGGAGCCCCTAGTAGCGTCCTTGCTCCTAGTGTAAGGCCAGGAGCCCCTAGTAGCTTCTTGTTCCTAGTCCACCAATTCGCAGATCACTTGAATTTGAAAATGCTTGAAAGCTGCTTGGTAACGGCATGGTTAACATACTGCTTGGTGCCGAGGAGTACTGATCTGAAAAATGGGAAAGACTCAAGGAACTCAAGGATCGGATGAAAGATTGGATAATTTGTGCAGTAACAAGAAGCTACTGGGTGGAGGCCATCGCAAGTAGGTTGGAGCCCATCGCTACTAGGAACAAGAAGCTACTAGTAACACAGGGTAAAGCAAGTACAAAGCCAATCGAAATGCTACATCCATGACAATCTCCTCCGTGGCCAAGTAGGCGAAGACTGGAGATCGCCGCACCTTGCGGCCGGATAGTATCATGACTAGCGAAACAACGGTGACGAAAAACATATCACCAGAGCACTCCTCTGTGTAATGTCTGTGAAAACCACACACTTGCATCACCCTCATCAGCCTCACTAACCCCCAATCCCCCAAAAACAAGTTCGCTACTAGGTTGGAGGCCATTGCTCTTAGGTTTGAGGCCATTGGTACTAGGTTCACCCTACAATGCAACCTTTCTAGGCAAAACTGTTTGGAACGCATGACATCATTCGACCTCACTCGAGCCTTGACAGTGACCGAGGCATATGCGGCATTGTTGGGGTTGTTGATGGCAAAGGTCTCCACCGTGAAGTTGTAAATGTTCCTAAAAAGAGCTCGACATCCAAGGAGTCAAACTCATTCATGGAGGGTTTTGTGTATCATGTCATTCTTTTTGTGGTGGGGAGGGGGGCGGGCAGCTTAGGCCACAAAGGCTATGGAAGTATAAGTTTAAGCAAGCTTTTGTGGCCAGTGGTACCACGAAAGGTACTGTACTACCGAAAGGTACTACCTGGACCACAGAAAGGCTCAGGTTCTTCGCGTGGTTCATTTCGTTCGATTTTTTAGGAGACCTTAAACCTCTGGACCTTTCTCGTTTTCCCTTCATTTTACTTTCTTCCTAACACACTGTATCTGCCAAAAAGCAATGTTATCATGTGCGTTCTTCAACAACTTCTAGTGGCGTCCTTGCTCCTAGTAGCGATGCCCTGTTTGTTCCTAGTAGCGTCCTCTTGCTCCTAGTAGTAAGGCCAGGAGCTACTAGTAGCGTCCCTTCAGCCTGCTTCAGCCTCTCAGACGTCCCTGAGGTTTTCGCAGATCAGCTCCGGAGCCAATGGGTTCCAGAACGAAGGGCGGAATCACCAAAGACCTGGTGGTGTAAACCTCAGTGCGGAATCACAAAAAATGCTGATCCTGTGATGAGCCAATGAAGTAATCAAAAAAAAGGTGAAGAAAGATCTACTGACCAAGTAGGGCTTTCTCCAGCGTCTTTGCCAACAAAAGATCCTTCGATTTTCAAAAGCAACAAACAAGAAGGAAAAGAAAAGCGTGGGCTGCATTTATATTTGTGAACTCCGGAGGTCTCTATCGAAAAGTCGAGCGCTGATTTTTGGCGACCTCGTTCGAAGTCTCATCTCTGGGACTCCCCAGCAATGTCTGGCATGGACGACAAATCCTTCAAGGCGAAAGGCGATGGGCACTTGTTTTGGTTGATGGTTTGTTTTGTTACGTTTTCTCTTGTTGCTTCCTTCTTCCTAGATCAAAATTTTATACATACAAAAATATGTTATCATCATTCTTAAGAATTTGGTATAAATCAGATTTCCAAGGCTGCATTGGTCCGTTCTTACGCAAAGTCGACAAGCAAATGACAAAAGGATCACGGTCACGCGGAGCTCTCACTATAACATTTGGAACAAACATCGCTGCTGACATGCAGTTCCCCCTATGTTGCGAGTGCCAAGTTCATAGCCCTTTCTGGTTGAAGGAGATGGTAGCAAGTGCCATTTCATTAAACAATTGGTTCTTTCAATGATAGCCCGGTGAGAGGTTGGCATTTCAGCGAACAGCAAAAGACGTTCGGCACGGCACCAAAGCGTTTGTCGGGCGTACCAGTTGGCCGGTGGTCTCCAACCAACGATAGCCCAACTGTCTGGACACTGTTTGACCTGAGAGCCCGAGAATCGGACCGAAAGTGTGTGGTTCCTAGTAGCGTCCGATCGCTCCTAGTAAGGCCAGGAGCCCCTAGTAGCTTCTTGTTACCTGCCGGGAAAAAGGAGCCGTGTCACTTTCCGCAAGGGAAAAATCCATGTTGAGAGATGTTGTTGCAAAATTGATGGCCAAGACTTTAAAAAAAACACGCACGTTACACGTTACACGTTCGTTCTTTTGAACTTGCCGGATCGTGATGTCCATGGCCCTTAGTCTTGCAGATGACTGGCCAGTCTTTCGCGGTTCAAACAAGTCTGAACTGGACGTCTTGCCCCGTCGTGCAAAAAGAGAGAAGAAAAAGAAGAGAGAAGAAGAAATTAAAAAAAAAGTTTTGAAAGATTGAAACATTTTTAAAAATCTTTTGTTTTGCCTTCTGTCAGTGCTTTGACGGGCTTGACTGGGCCTCCCAACACTCCGAAGGAACACCATTGGCCAACAGCGACACTTGCTCTGTGCCTTGGAGTTTGCACGATCAATGTCGCCCAAAAGCCAACTAGTTTGCTCTACCAACTCCGGGGCACGGCGGCTCAACACTGGCTACGAAATATGTAAGTCACTAGTCTAGTTTCACTGAGGACATACCTCCAGGTCCCTTCAGACGGCAAAACCACCTGCTGGCTCAACTACCTCTATGAGCTCACCATGTTTTCATCAAATTAGCCAAATCTGTAATTGATGTAGTTCAACACGTTGTGCTTCCTGATTTGGCTCACCACTTCACCGCTCTAGTCTCTATCTGAACTAGAACTTGGCTGGCTCTACGCGGCTCGCACTTACTGCTGCTGCACCCAAGGCAACTATCAAACACGGCTCTACTGTGCTGTTCCACCACAACTTCTACCGCCATCTATTCTATGGTGTTTTGGATCCTACGAGTACCTTCCCTAAGACAGCCTTCTGACTACGTGTGCCTGTACACCATGGAGTGACAGGTTACCTTTTGGTTTTTTGAAAGTCACTTTGCAGGGGGCAGTGACAGAGTTTGTGGAATCACTGCCAACAAAAAACGCCCACATTCTCTGGTGAAGCACCGGGAATTTTGGCCTCTGGAGGTTATCCTACCCGGCCCACACCTGTTCTCTTAGGCCGCTTTTCCCTTAGGTTGGCGTGTGGCAAACCGCAGTCAGTTCGTACATACTTTTATCCTGAGTGTGTGTGTAGGTATGACTCTGATCTATTCTCCTCAACTAAGCAAAAGTGGGTTGTTGCTGCAAGAATTGGACATGGGCACTGTGCCGCACAGGAGGCAAAGCAGTGCCCAAATTGCCAACAAAAGGATACAAACAAGAATCCGATGCCTCACAAAGGAAACTCGCGCCAGCCGCGTGTCGCGCAGACCGCGGTGTCGCCCTGTGCATCCGAGGCACGATTTACCAAGAGCTCTTTGGGTCCCAAGATACTGACCATCGGTGCCGGGAAGTCCAACTTGGTGATATCAACCTGGCGCAGGTCGGCGCAGGGTGGCAGAGTCAGTGTAGAGTCCCCAAGAAGAGATCGGATTCGTTTTGGACAAATTAGGAATCAAATGCATTTCGGAGACGCATCCGGTGGTTCTTCATGGTTCATTTAACCATTGTCTTACCACTTTCAAGAGTAAGGATTGAGCTTCCGGGTGGTCAAAGGAGTTCCGGCATTTCTAGGGGTCCCGGCCAACTCGCTCTGAGAGAGGCCCCATCGACTGGTGACCTGACAGGGGAATGGATATGCACACAAGGGACATAACTGGTGGACTAGGCTTGTAGAATAGAAACACGACACGGGTATCGAGGTGATCAATCATTGAATCAGTCATGATATGTCATGATCATCTATTTGTGCTTCTGGTCTTGTTTAAAGAGATGATGCCGGGCTGCCAGGCCGTTAGATTGATGGTGAAGAGCACGGCTTCTTCCAAATAGTCTGGGGGACTTTCCACCTTCCCTTCATTGAACTCGGCGCAGCAGCGCGGGGCAAAGAGAACACAACTTTACCTAATAGCAATGGCCTCCAAAGAATCATTAGGCTTGTTTCATTTCACAGAATCTAGGAACCAATTCATTAGTGCGAGCACTTCTTCAAGGAATCTCAGGCGGGGGAAGCTTCCTTGAAGAAGCGTGAGCTATCCTGCGTCCATGCTAATAGCTTAAGTAGCTAGTAGCTACCTCTCCCGTAGCTAACTACCTCTTTCTACCTCTTCGCGGCCTACCCCCCCCCCCCCGGTGCTAGTCTCGTCTCTACTGAATCAAGGCAGGGGGAAGCGGAAGCGGGCAGCGAAAAGGGTTCGAGGCCAAAACATCGGTGGCATTTTGCAGCACGAAGCGGAAGAGCTCCAGCTTTGTTTCTGGCGCGTCGAAAGGAGAAACACGTCGGAAGAGCTCCTCAAAGTCCCTAACAGGATGAAAAAGTCTTTGTAAACCAAGACAAACCACGGAAGAAGGACAAGACACTGGTAAACTCAAGCACTGCAAATATCATGGTCCAACGTCGCAGAGAAAACATGCCATGGGGGGCGGTTGTAGATCCTTCCGGCCGGATTGTTGGTGAGATCTGTGTAGCCCAACAGCTCCCACCTGACACAAACCGTTCTTGTCTCGGCAAGCATCCTGACCCCTTTTGTGCCAACTACTTGGAAAACTCCTGACCTGTGCCAACGAAGTCCAACCATGTTTCGGCTTTAACTCAGCACAATATGGTGAGGGGCTTGCAAAGCCCCAGTGCTATTAAAACACCCGGCAGCACAGGCCTTAAGTCGATGAATCTTGCATGAGTGCCATCCTCCAGCATTGGTTCTTTTTTTTCTCCAAGAACATCCATGTCCAGCCAGCCTGTAGGAGGCTTTGCCGCCCAGGAAGTAACTGTCTGTGGCGTAGAGCTGCAACGGGCTGCACTCGTCGATCTGCACCAGGAGAACAGGGCTCACCGCATTGCGCTGGATGGATCACTCACGGGTGGACGTCGAGAAAGTTGAATCAAATGGTCGAATCAACAGACTTTGTCCTAAAACATTGGACTAAAGAGAATAGAAGAAACTTCAGTATACATTCAAACAGTAATACAAGGTTTAGTGCATAATTTAGAGGTCTGTACTATACAATGCAAGCTCGCCAAGAAAAACAACGATCAAATGTGTTTAATATTGCGCCCAAAAATCAAGTTTTTGGAGGCATAACAATAATCTGGATCCATATTTACAAAATTCAGGCCCTCAACCCCACCCACAAAGCTCAAAGCAAATGAAAGAAAAATGAAAGCAAGTGGATCTCTAGAGCTGACTATTGTAAAGGCAGAGCCTCAGAGCTCGTGAAATATTGTGCAGAGGAGAGTTGGCCTCAAATGAGTGGGAACTCGTGGTGCACAAGAGGATGTGAGCAACCCCCAAAAAAAAACAGTCCAAAAATACAAAATGGCGAAGCGGGGGTCCCTTTCTTACAAATCTCTCATTCGATGGAAGAGCACATGAGAGATTCTAAAAGGGGATTGGTCTCGTGGCCTTTTGGATCCACAAGCGATGCAAACAGGGATGATGTGCCCTCTTAGCCTCTGTTTGCCCGGTGATGATGACGACCGGCTGCTCCAAAGGATCGGGCCTCGAGTGCGCCAGACCCGACCACAGGGGATACAACTAGGAGATGCGACCACAGCAAGGCGACCACTCTTTTATGGGCTTTCTCATTCTACGCAGTGGTTGGCACGCGTCTGGACTAGAGTGAACTTGGGCTTCTCCTCAAGCATTTACCCCTTGGATGTTGTCGTAGGTCGAAAGTAGTTGCTCGCACATGCCCTTCTTCAGGGCCCTAAAGCGATAAAGAGATGGATAGCATCCAGGGTGGCGGAAAGCCGTCGATCTCAATCTCACTCGCCATAAGTGTTGTTCACTCTCAGCATGACAAATCAGCAAATCCAGACACGCCCTTCATGGACTACAGTCTTCTCAAATGTATCACAAGGAAGAGAGCTGGAGATTGAGGCAACTTCTCGGTTCTGAGATGTTTCTTTGCAGTGATCCTTTGGCCAACGGGCCAAAAGCAACCTTTAAATGGATCATGGCTCCATGTGAACTGGGCAACACCTAGAAGACTTGACAAGAAGTGCAAATCAAATGCCAAATGAGTGGTCTCACAACGAAAACCCACAGATCTCTCCACAAGATCCAGGGTTGGAAGCCTACACTTGGCCTAGAGATTGGCATTTATATGCGGATCCTTGAGCAAAACAATCGACTCAATACAAAATGCGGAATCTTGGACTCAGTCCAAAATAGATTGTGTTCGGGTGCCATTTGTTGGATGAGACATGACGAGAAAGACACCAAGCGCTAGACAGTGAGATGGCGATGCCACCTTGCGCGGCCATGGAATATTCATTGTCCTCGCAAGCAGAAGTGCTTGACCAAACAGGATTTTTACGGGAGCCCATCACTTCTAGGTTGGAGGCAATCACTACTATCGCTTCTAGGGTGGAGGCCATCGCTATTAGGGTGGAGGCCATCGCTATTAGGGTGGAGGCCGTCGCTTCTCAAAGCCTTCGCTGGGAATACATGGCATCAGGTCAGGAGTGGACCCCGGAATGAGATAAAGACTCCTGTGGGCGTGGAATGGTGTAGATGGTGTCCGCGTTCAAAAAGATCTGATCTCCAACCTGGCAAAGTGATGCGCTGGCCACACCGCTTCTAGGTCATAGGCCACATCACTTCTAGGTTGGAGGCCATATTGCTTCTAGGTTGGAGGCCACTTGTGGCCCAGAGGGGGGTGGCGAAAGCTAGGCAAAGAAACAACGCTGGGGCTCTTTAGGCAGCAAAAGCCTGGCCGGGAATCGCAACATGCCATGGCCAAGGGAAAAGGAGAGTGCCAACAGCGCCCCCCCAATACGACCCCAATACCGCCAACACATGGCAACACACAACCACCCCAGCAACCGCAGCAGCAGCAACAGCCACAACAACAATAACTGTAACCAGCAGCGGCAGCGGCAGCAAGCAGAAGCTACCTAGCAGCAGCAGAAGCAGCAGCAGGAGTAGCTAGCAAGCAGCAGCACCAGCTACCAAGCAGCAGCAGCAGCAGCAGCTACCAAGCAGCAGCAGCAGCAGCAGCTACCAAGCAGCAGCAGCAACAGCTACCAAGCAACAGCAGCAGCAGCTACCAAGCAGCAGCAGCAGCTACCAAGCAACAGCAGCATCAGCTACCAAGCAGCAGCAGGAGCAGTAGCAGCTACCAAGCAGCAGCAGCTACCAAGCAGCAGCAGCTACTAAGCAGCAGCAGCAGCAGCTACCAAGCAGCAGCAGCAGCAGCAGCAAGCAGCACCACCAGCTACCAAGCAGCAGCAGCAGCAGCAGCAGCTACCAAGCAGCAGCACCACCAGCTACCAAGCACCAGCAGCAGCAGCAGCAGGAGCAGCAGGGAAAGAGTGAGCCTTCCTTAGAGTCTTTCGTGCCCCAACATTTGGTCTCGAACAATAGCACATATAGGTGCTGCCTGAGTTAATTGTAGAAGGGCGACGTGGAAAGACATATATATCTGATATACATGTTTTTTCCACCAAAAAATGCTGACGATGCAGCCAGCAGCGGTGTGCATGATTGACATCTAGGGGTTGCATGCGAACATGTGTCAGCGACCGAAGACTCCGTCGCAACGCTTGAGCATGCTCCTTGTCGCTCGAACATGGAACGCGGACTACCATGAGTGAAGCAAACAGCCCGCTCAAACATTTTACTGGGTTCTGTCATTCATGTGTGTGTAGTAAGTATCATCTTTTGATCTGCATGGATAGCGGATAGTGCATTCTGATTTGTACTCTTGGGGGTTGTGGGGTGGGTACATGCCTGTACAAGCTTCTTAAGGATATAATGAAAGTAGCATCGTTTCACGACTCAGAGGGAAGGCAACTACTCTCGATTCCAACGAATAGGCTTTCTTCAGCACCAACAGCAGCCAACAACCCCAAACAGCAACAGCAGCAAAACGGAGCAGACAACAAGCAGCAGGCAGCCAGCATCCAGAAGCAGCAAGCATGCAAGCAGCAAGCAGCAGCAACCAGCAAGCAGCCAAGAGCATCCAGCAGCACCAAGCATGCAAGCAGCAAGCAGCAGCAACCAGCAAGCAGCCAAGAGCCAGGCGCGCGCAGATGAGATGCCAGCAGCAGCAGCAGCAGCGACCAAGCAGCAGCAGCAGGTACCGAGGAGGAGAAGGGTGGAGTTGAACCCCGCGAGGGGGGGGGGTATAGTCCTGATATATCAGGTAACAGCACTCAGGTCCTGGGCTCCCACCCTCCTTGCTAAAGCAAGACAGACTCCAGCTAGCTACAGCTAGCTTTCGTGATATTGCTTCTAGGTTGGAGGCCACATCGCTTCTAGGTTGGAGGCCACATCG